CCTCTTCTTTCTCTCTCTAAAACCAGGACACTTTCGTTGAACGGATCTCTTCTCCCCTTTTTCGTTTTCATTTTCCTCAATTATAATAATAAATTAATAAATAATAATATATGCACATGCTCCGTCTACGCTAATCAAATTATCTGCTGCATATGCTTCAGCAACTAATAAATTAGTTTGTGTAAGTGTTCTTCTTCGTACTCTCCTTTTTTTTTGGTTCGAATCGCTTTTATTTGCAATTGAATTTTTATGATTGATTTTTTCTGTAGATTAGGTTGAAATTTGTGTCCACTTGATAGCTAGGTTTAGTGTTTTTAATTTACTCGGGTCTCAGTCGTGTGTTTGATTTTTCGTCACTCGGTCGGTCAATTGGGCGAACGATTCCACGAGTCAAGGGTTTTTGGGGGAAAAAATTGATGATTTATGAATTTTTTGTTTCATACCCTTGAATCATAATTTTTTAAGGTTAACGCGGTTCACTTTGAAGAATTGTCAGGTAGAGAGAACTTGGAATTTTGGTAAATTATGTTGAAAAAATCAACCTGTTTTGGGTTTCTGATGCTTCCTGTGATTCTCATGGGAAATTTTATTTGAACGTTAGTTGTTGAAAGTTCGAAAATTTGGCATGATCAGTTTTTTCGGTTTTGTTATTGTAATTATTATTTTTCAACTTGGATTCGTTTAGTATTATACTCAAATGGTTGTAATTTTGGTTTGCAGAGTGGCAGCTTAAACTTCTGAAATGATAAGGGAAGAGGAAACTGATCAGGCATCAGGCGCAAATTGGAAGACGTACTTACGGTCAGTGTCGTGGACTGAACGTCCGCCGAGAAAGTCTGCTTCTACGCCAAAATGGAACAGCAAAGCGCGGGCGTGTTTGCCGCCACTTCAGCCTCTGTCTATAATCCGACCAAGCATCGAGGAATGGCCCAGAGCTGGGTCCGATGATCTTGGCGTGTGGCCAAATCCTCCTACTCCTGGTGCAAGGTCTGGATCAGTAACACCCCGTGAAAGTTCAACTTCGGATCAACCTCCACCACGAGAATTCGAATTCAAGAAAGACAAACTTGCCTTTTTCAACAAAGAATGCTCGAGGATCTTAGATCACGTCTATTTGGGAAGTGATGCAATTGCCAAGGATCGCGAAATCCTGCGACAGAATCGGATCACACACGTGCTCAACTGTGTGGGGTTCGTTTGCCCGGAATATTTCAAGAATGACCTCGTGTACAAGACCCTTTGGCTGCAGGACTGCCCGTCTGAGGATATAACGAGTATTCTCTATGATGTTTTCGATTATTTTGAGGATGTTCTTGAACAAGGTGGGCGTGTCTTTGTTCACTGTTGTCAGGGTGTATCTCGATCGACCTCGTTGGTTATCGCATATCTTATGTGGAAGGAGCGGCAAAGCTTCGATGACGCATTCCAGCACGTCAAAGCAGCCAGAGGAGTGACGAATCCAAACGTGGGATTTGCTTGCCAACTTTTGCAGTGCCAGAAACGAGTGCATGCTATGCCTGCAAGCCCAACTTCCGTTCTTAGGATGTATCGAATGGCACCCCACTCTCCATATGACCCCCTTCACCTTGTACCAAAAATGTTGTCTGAACCAGATGCGGATAAACTCGACTCTCGTGGAGCATTCGTTGTTCACATCCCTTCGGCTTTGTATGTGTGGACAGGGAAGCATTGCTCCACAGTGATGTCTGATAATGCCAGGGTAGCTGCCTCCCAAGTTATTCGTTATGAAAGAGCACAAGGTCCAGTTGTAAATGTCAAAGAAGATGAGGAGACATTTGAGTTCTGGGATGCTCTTAGCTGTAATAGAAGTTCGGTAGATTGCAGTAAAGTGAAGGCTGAGAAGGAAAATAGCTTGTCTGAGACCATTCACCCATGTCTCGATCAAAGGAAGCTCGCTGAGTATGATATAGATTTCGAAATCTTTCACGGAGCACTTGCTGGTGGGGTCGTACCTCCTTTTCCACTACCAGGAGCAGGATCCGAGACACGTCTGCCCGCCAGAGAGAATGGTTGGAATAAATTGAGAAAGAAATTTGTCAACGGTGTTATGAAAGAATTCATCACCTCTTCTAAGTTGATCCCGAGTGCGTTGAAGATATGTGGTGGACTGGAGGCAAAGGCAATCGATACTTGTGATGAAGTTGAAGGCTTTGTCTCGCCTGCTAATCATTCGGTGTCTTCAAGTGATCAATGCGACTCACCGGATTCACTTGCTTCGTACGTAATCTCAAAAGAAGTGGATCGTGCAGGTCCTTTTCAGGATACTTCGCTGTCGCATTCACCGGCGTTCAGTTTAGTGGATTCATTTTCTTCTTTTCTCGTCAATAAACCAAAGTCCAACTCAACATCGCCGTCACTGTCACCTTCAAACTCCGATTACTCGAGTTCATTTACCTTTTCGCCCTCGTCGTCTAACTGGTCCGACATATCTTTTGTGTCTGCTCAGCCATCACCTAGCGGACTTGAATCGAGTGATATTGATCTTGGTAAGAGTGACCTTCTAGAGGAAAGTGTTGGCTCTGCAGAGGAATGTACGCATAGCTATTTGGCCGATGATGAAGTTGTAAGAAGAAGACCATACAGTGAAAAGAATTATGATATTACTAATAAAGAAACTGACCCAACTAACCTAGTATTGTACCAGTGGCCCTCTATGCATAAATTGGAGATGCACTGCGGCATCTTTGACTCGAGATCTGTGTATATTATACTTATGCCGGCAGGAAATATTGGCGCAGAAGTTGGTGATGTTTTATACATATGGATAGGCCGTGATGTGTCATCAAAGCGAAGCTATAGTCAGTTGATCAGGAATGACAGCAGATGCGAAGATTATGCAGAGGCAATCGACCGTAATATCCTTGTCGAGAAGGGTTTTAGCGCAGATGCTCAAATTAAGGTACTTAATCCTTCTCTTTATAACAGCATATCATATATGTGTGACTATTATTGACTTTTATATACATGCCTAATCTACAAATTTTATGTGTGACTAAATAATTGTGTAATATGAGTTTATAAGTAGTCCCTTTCGGTGAAGCTATGAATGTATTAACACTTGCACACATATAAAAATAATAGGTGCCGTTTCCTATCATGGGTAATGGGTATGTATATTGACACGATTAAGTGATGTAGGTCGATTAATTAAATTTATTAGCTCTCGGTTGTCGATACTTAAAACTTTATTCATTTACGTGAGGGTTTCAAATTTCAATAGCTAAGTTTCATGTGTTTTGCGACTTCTTATTGTTCCAGATAGTCAAGGAAGGTGAAGAACCGGTGAATCTCGTCAAGCTTCTAGCCCCTTACTCGTTAAACAAGGAGTTAGGCAAGCATCTATATGGTGGAATCTAAGTACAAACGCTCGAGATATACGTACATGAATTGAATTTGAGGATGTTCGATTTTTGAACTTACGGCCGTAGTAGCTCTAATGAGTTGCATTGGCATCCCAAAAGCAGAGTGCGAGTACACGCGATTCTGCTTGTGAGATTGTAAGGAAAATGAAGAACCCCGTTTTCGATTGTAGACGAGAGGAACTGTACAGGGAATAAGTTTCTGTATATTGAGGATATAGAAATATTTTACGAGTAAAAAAATCCGAATCAAATGCTGTGATATGTGACTGCATTTCAATATGTTCATTTATTTTGGTTCATCTGTTATATAATTAATAGCTTCTATTTCAACTCAAAATTTTGCTATTCTCTGTTATGGATGTGGTAATTAAGGCGGCGACTATTCGAAATCCCACAAATTTAATTTTTCCATCAAATAAATTACTAAAAGACTATTATACCCTTACTAAAATAAAAATAAAAACACAATCATGAAACTCCACAAATTCGTTTGTCCCTCAGCCCACAAATTTGTAATGTATTTTTCTTTTGATGGAAGACGAACTATGTATTCGATTACTTGTAATAAAAATCTTCTATATTCCAATGTTGATAATGAGAAATAAAAACATGACATGGAAAATAGTCTTCTAAAATTGGAAAAAGAAAAAGAAAAAAATCGGATCGAAATTGACGGATATCGGAAATCTCATTCCAACTTCCATCTTTAACGTCGAGTTTGCATCTAAGTTAATGGGGATACTAGGGGAGGCCATGGCCCCCCATGTTACCTCAATATAATTAATATTATAACAATTAAAGACAAAATTATTATATAAAGAAGAGTATTTGCTCTTCATTGAATAATATATTTTGGTTCTCAATCATCGAATATTTATCTATTTGATCTTTTAAACAATCTAAGGCATTCACATAATAAATCATTGCATGGTCTAATATCTAAATTTAAGGAGTTTGAAATACATATTTTTAATATAATTTATATTATTTTAATTAAAGCCAATATTTTTGGTATATTTATCGTATCATCTATACTTCTTTAATTCTCGCCCTGCAAGCATTTCTGATTCCGCCACTGATCTCAGTACATATTTACATATGTGTATATGTAAATAACTAAATATGTTAGAAATATATATATTTTTATTTTGGGACCAAGATAAATGTATATTGATATTTGAGATATATACGCATTCAAAATAATTAGCTCTACTTCCTTTTTTTTAGTAAAATATTTTATATATAAAAGAAAGAAACGCTGGGTAACCCTGAAAATCTTACTGGTAGTTTTGTAATTATTTATTTTTAATATTTTTTCTTTACTAATTTCTAACTATAATTTTCAATAATTATCAGAATTGACATTAAACCGTGAAGAATCCTACCCTAATGGTACATCTATAATTATTTACTTTTAATATTTTTTCTCTACTAATTTTCTAACTATAATTTTCAACAATTATCAATCTCCTAATTTTCATCGGTATATCTCTAATCTTAAGAGATAAAGATAGAAATTCGATTTGTTAAATTTTAATATGTAACATTTATAATGCTACAATATTAAATTTTACTATGTTAGTGTGCTTTATTTTCTTATTATATATTAAATTTATTATTCTTTTTCACTTTTAAAATAATATCCCGTGCATCGTTCGGGGAAAAAATGCTAGTAAATGATAAAAGCAATTCTGGATGACATGCTGATCCGGACCCGAACTATCCTAGCCCGATCCAGGGCCAAGGGCCCAATTATCAAGGGCCCAATTATCAAGGCCCATCAAAGGGTGGGCTCTTCAGTACCAACGGCCCAAGGGATCACCCAACCCGTTGGCATAAGGGCCCATCCACGGAGGAACTGGTTTCTCTCCCGAGGGGCTTTCACAGGTCGGAGGGTCATAAATGCGGGACGGCGCATTTAATATTCTGACAGTGGCATTTATGGCAGAATGACCAGGCGCGGCTCAACAGCTAAGTACCGAACGAGGTCAGCAGACCTATTGGGGTAGTCATCATGACCCCGGCCGCCCGGGCCGCTCGGGGAAGGACGACTGCCATCTGCAATTAGCGCGGAATTCCCGGGCCCTTCGAGTCCCGGGTCGAAGGGTATATAAAGGGAGTTTTTCTTTTACTTAATGGAATACAAAAAATCTCAAATCCTAAAGAAATACAGTAATCACGCTATCACTGACTTGATCGTCGGAGTGCTAACTCCGGCATCAGTCCGGCTTTCTCTTTTTCAGGTCACCGGAAGCCAAAGTCATCAACGCAACTGTTTTCTGAAGGATCAATTGGCGCCGTCTGTGGGAATAGTTTTGCAAGTAAAGCCAGGCTAGCTCTTCACCATCTGGCACTACTGACGCACGTAAGGGATGCTACCAATGTCTACACCCGTGGATGTAGTCCGAAACCTAACGGAGCAGCTGAATGAAGAATCAACCCCACCCCCGCTACAAGTCATCGGAGGCGAGCCTTCTTCGGATCCACGAAGAGAGGAACCAACCCCGGCGGCTGGTGGTTCTCCCACCGGACGCGAAAACTCTACCATAACGCTCACCCTGGAGAACCTGCAGGCCTTGATCGCCGCTGCGGCTAGGGGCCGGTCGCCCCAGGAGAGGATGGAGGATCCTGCTGCCAAGAGAAAGGCATCGGGCGGAGGCGAAGCGGGACCATGTCTAGACGAGCTAGAGGCCTCTCCTCTCGAGGAGGAAGAAGGAATGGCGGGAACGCCGTTCACCGAAAGACTGCAGCATGGTGAGCTTCCCGCCACGTTCAAACATGTCACTTATGAGTACACGGGGACCACGGACCCCTGGGAACATTTGTCGAGGTTCATCACCTCGGCCTCCCTCCATCGGCTGACAGACGGCGTAAAATGCCGTGTGTTTGCAACCACGTTGGCGGGGCCAGCGCAAAGGTGGTTCAGCCAGCTTCCGCGCTGCTCGGTCCACAGCTTCGCACAGTTCGGTGAGGTGTTCCTAAACCATTTTGCCAGCTCGAAAAAACAAAAGAGGAGCACCCTTACCTTATTTGCAGTACGACAGAAAGAGAATGAGCCTTTGAGAAGCTATGTGCAGAGGTTTAATGCGGCAACTTTAGAGGTCCCTGCCACCAGTGAGGAAGTGCTCATCAATGCACTGGCCCAGGGGTTGCGCATGGGTGAGTTCTTTGATTCCCTCTCCAAAAAGGCCCCTGTCTCTTTCAACGACTTGCTCGGGAGGGCAGAGAAGTACATAAACGCGGAGGAAGCCCGAAGAAGCAGAACTATAGAGAGCACCTTGCCGGTGGAAAGACGAAAGGATAAGACCCGTGAGGATATGAGGAAGCAAGAGCCGACCTATCGACGAGAGCCGGGCTTGGAGAGGAGGGGAGGTCCTCGTTTTGAGAACTACGCACCTCTCTCGTCGGCCCCTTCGGAGATACTGGTTGCCATCGCCAACCACCCCAAGCTCAAGTGGCCCCGAACTTACGCGGAGGTTCCAAGAAAGCCCGCTAACTCCGGGCCCTATTGTAGGTTCCACAATGAGCATGGTCATTCCACGGACGAATGCCAGCACTTAAGAGATGAAATCAAGAGACTGATCAGGAGCAAGAATCTTTCGGAATTCGTTGGCGGTAATCCCAGTGGGATAAGGCAGGCCAAGAAGGGAGATAGCTCGAACCGGCCTCCGACCAACGCGAGTGGAACTACAGAGGCCCGCCCGCCTAATAGTTACATTCACACGATTTTCGGTGGCCCCATCGGTGGAGACTCGAACAGGTCCCGACGGGCGCACATGCGAGAGTTGCAGGAGCTAAGGGGAGAACTCGCCATGATGTACCGGGTATCGATAGCTCCACCGATCATGTTCGGAGTGCAAGACGAGACTGGAATACAACAGCCGCACAACGACGCGTTGGTCATCACGGCCATGGTGGCCAACTATGATGTGGCCAGAATATTAGTGGATACAGGTAGCTCGGCAGACATCATCTACTACGACTGTTTTAAGCAGATGAGACTGAACTTCGAAGTCAGGAGGGTGGACACGGCGCTCATTGGCTTCGCCGGAGAGGTAGTACAACCCATGGGCGAAGTAACACTGCCTGTGTCTTTGGGAACGGAGCCCCTGCGAGCCACGAGGGCTGTCAGATTCCTGATCATAGACGCACCATCGACGTACAACATGATAATGGGGCGACCTTCGATGAATTCGTTTGAAGCTGTCGTCTCCACTTTCCACATGAAAATGAAATTCCCAATACTAGACCGAGTAGGAGAGGTCCGGGGCGACCAGGAGACATCCAGACGATGCTATAATCAAGCGCTACGGGGACAACGGCGCATCAATCCCGTCGGATGGGAGGAGCGCTCGGATAGAGCAAGGGAGAAAAGGGCCCGCGAGGACCCGGACGACGAGAGGGAGGGTCACATCCAGCCCATGGAAGAGTTGCGAGTGGTTAACCTCAGCGAGAGTGACCCTACGAGGGTCACTAAAATAGGAACAAGGATGAATAGCAAAACGGCCGAGGAGCTGATAGCATGTCCGCGAGACCATCAGGACGTGTTTGCCTGGTCTCCCATAGACCTGGTCGGAATAGATCCCTCGGTAGCAGTCCACAAGCTGAACCTAAGACCTGACGCTCGCCCTGTGAAACAGAAGAGGAGGCATTTTGGGGCAGAGAAAGACAAGATCATCGGCGAGGAAGTAAAAAAGCTATTAGAGGCGGGTCATATCAGGGAAATCCAGTTCCCAACTTGGTTGTCAAACGCCGTGCTAGTAAAGAAGGCGGAAGGAAAATGGAGAATGTGCATAGACTTCCGTGACTTGAATCAAGCTTGCCCGAAGGATCACTACCCGTTGCCAAGGATCGACCAGCTCGTGGACTCGACTGCCGGGTGCGCGATGCTTAGCATGATGGACGCCTCGCAAGGATACCATCAGATTCGCCTGGCCGAGGAGGATCAGCCCAAAGTCAGTTTTGTGACTTCCACAGGAACGTATTGCTACGTAGCAATGCCGTTCGGTTTAAAGAACGCGGGAGCAACGTACCAGAAGTTGGTAGACAATATGTTCCGAGCCCAATTAGGGCGGAATATGGAAGTGTACGTAGATGATATGTTGGTCAAAAGTAGGGAGGTCAATGAACACATCAGCGACCTGCAGGAGACGTTCGCAACACTACGAAAGTATGGAATGAAGCTCAACCCCGCCAAATGCGCGTTTGGTGTGGAGACCGGAAAATTCCTAGGGTATGTGGTGACTAAGCAAGGAGTGGAAGCTAACCCAGAAAAGGTGCGGGCTATAATAGAAATGCTACCCCCGAGAAGTGTAAAAGAAGTGCAGATATTGGCCGGTAGGA